TTATAGGCGTGCACCACCACACCCAACAGGCCTAGTAATAAAATCAGTAAATCTTCACAGGGTTTGAGACTACATGAACATTGCACTAAAAAACCTGTTAGGATCTGTGAACTCAATAGGCAAAATTTCCTGTTGGACATTTTTCTGGGGAAAACTAACTTTTATTAAATGCCTACCAATATACCAAAAGTATCCAAAAAGAAGTGTTATGGACATTCCCTAGGGAATAAAAAGCCTGTAAGAAGGTGAGAAAGACTTAAAGAAATGTGATTTTCAAAAAGTAACAGAAAAACTAGGAGTGGAAAAACAAATTAAGGGCTAGTCAACAATTAAAAAAAAAAGGTAAGCTTAAAAAACACTCCCTAATGACCCAAGAACAGTTTAATATGGGTGCCAAGGGCAGGTGCAGTGGGCAGCGTGGATGACAGGTAATGAAATAGCATGAGTTACTCTTAGGAAATTTGACCAAAAGACTGAAGAACCTCGGAGAACAGAGACATTGAAGGTTGATGGATTGAGGTATCAAAAGTACAGGAGGAATTAGCTTTGGAATGGAGGAGTGCTTTTTCCAAGGGGAACTGGTATTTACAGTTGGAATTAAGATAGTTTAACTGCTATTCTCTCTTTGAGGTAGGATGTTAGATGTGAGTTAATGATCTAGACTTGCTTAAATGTAGCTATGCATTAGAACCACTTATAATGAGTGTTAAGAGATTTCTCATCTGTAGACGGTCTCAGTTGATTCTCCTTCAAAACAAATTCAAATATTTTAACAAGCTTCACAGTAAGACACTCCAGAGTCAATCTACAAATCAACATTAGATTTTAGCCCCAAAGAGATGGAAAAGTAGAAGTCAACACACAGAACTGGGAACTATAACTAGTAATCAGTGCTAGAAAGTGCAGCAAAGAAGGCTAAAGGAAGCCTCAAGATGGAACATTATCTTTTGAATTAGGAGGTGGAGTTTATGAGAATAGAAGGAATGTAGGTAGGAATTTCGTTAAATTTACACTTACTTTGCTATGACATGGTCTTAATGTAATTTTTGTTTTTAAAAATTCCAACTTTGATGATCTAGAAAATACAAAGCAATCTCACTGTAGTTCAGCTAAAAATAAGCTTTCAGATGAAAAAGACAATAATTCACTAAAAGAATCTCATGTCACAGCTCACCCTACAATAGAAAATTCTACATTCTAGTTACGTTTTTCTAATTTTAGTATCAAAAAAGCATCACAGAAGAGGTTATAAAGAACACTCAGGAAAATCTTAAGAAGACACTTAAAAATGCCCAGAGCAGAAAGAGGTAGCTGACCAAGGAGGCAAACAGCACAGAAAATCAAAAGGCTACTGTCAAGAAAGGCCTGAACTTCAGTGAAGGTGGAAGTTCTTTCTTAACCCCAACTATGGTCAGCTCCCTGGAAATAAGCACTTTGTTGGGCAATTAAGGAAGAATAAGCTAAATATGAAACGGAAGTATCCATGTGCTACTCCAGGATTGGAGAGGGGCATTAAAGAGAGCAAAAGTACCTTGGAGGAAGATAGAGAATACTTAGGCAGAGGTGGGATGGGGTGTACCTGTGGTTCTAGCTACTTGAAGGACAGTTTGAGGGCAGCCTGGGCAACAGAATGAGAATGCCTCAAAAAAATTATCACCTCGGGGCTGGGGATTTAGCTCAGCGGCAAAAGCGCCTGCCTGGCAAGTGCAAGGTCGTGAGTTCGGTTCCCTGTACCGGAGAAAAACCAAAAAAAAAAAAAAGGAAAAAAAAAATTATCACCTCATTCTTGAAAAACAGAGGGAGGACTAGCCATTTTTACTAATTGACACCATAGCTTCATATTCATAGATGGTTCCTATTCTTTGGAATTCTGCACTTCAAGAAGCTTCTTTTATAGTCACTTACCTTGAAATCCTGTGCAATCCACTTTCTGTATCTTGACCATTTTGTTAAAATTGTTCTCCTAGCAATGACTCTGCCCAAATCAATGTGTTTTTCTTAGTCTTTGATATTTCCTAGTCCCCTATTCCTTGAAAATATCTTTTTTTGCTTTGTGTGATGGTATGTTTCTCTTTCTTAGTAAGGATTAAAGAAAACTGAATGAGCAATACAAATATGAAAAAAATGAAGTTTTTTACATCCTCTCTTGTTCTATAACTAGCAGTTAACAATCTGGCATACATCTTTTCCATACTTATAACTATTTTACAAAATAATTGTTAAAAATTAATCACATATGTATTATTTTCTATTGTTTTCACTACACTCTTATAAACTTTCCTATTAATGCCTGTAGAATTGTATTTCTACTAGTATGTAGCATTTTATATTGCAATTTTACTTAGGAAAACTTTTACAGATGAGTATTTAAAATTTAAAAAATTGCGAAGTTGTTATGACTATCATACATACACCTGTACATTATTTTGAAGCCTTTACAACCACACACTTGCAGGTTCACAGGAAATATATATTTAAAAATTTGACAAAAGGTACAGTTTGGAAACATTCTATCCTTTAAGTTTTGTTTCTGATTTTTGAGAAGGATATCCTACTTTAGGACATTGTTTCATGATTATCAGTTTATTAAGATTTTCTAACTCTTGAGCCAAGGTTTGAAATTTATATTTTTCTAGAAATTGTCCAAGTCAATTTTCAAGATTATTAGTAAAAGCCTACATAATTCATTTTTGATTTACTAAGTCTCCTCATCTGTAATAAGTTCCATTTGTTTCCAATATTTTGTTCTGTTTCCTTGGGTTTGCTAACTGTGTTGTTCTTTTCAAATACCAGACATTATGATCAATGTTATTGTCTATCACAATTTTTGCTTTCATTTTTCATTATTTTTAAGTTGATTTTGGAAATGGGAAATTTAATTTTACCTGTTTTTCTGCTACCTATTTGTTTCCTCTGCTGATCTTTCCTGCCATGTGGCTTCATATGTTTTTCATGTGTTGCTTTACTCCCTCAGTGAGTTTACCCACTCTATATAGCAAAAATGCCTTGACCATTATGATATAAGTGACTACAAGCACCACAATAATTTGAAGCAGGTCATAGAAGGTTCCAATTCCCCAACTCCTACTTATGTGATTGTGGTCAAATATGAACTGTTCATCTGTAAAAACAAAAATAACAGTAAAGATTAAGTTTAAAAGTATGTGAAAATCATTTATAGAAACTGGCCTTTTTTTATAACTCAATAAATACTGTTAATGCCTCAGTTGTCCTATTTCTAAAAATGAGTATCCCAAATTCCCTTCCAACTGTGAAAAATTATATTTTCAACCTATTAGTTCATTCACTGGATAATCAACTGATCAACCTACCCATTGAGTTGCTCACAATAGCTATAAAGTAAGCCCTTCCCTTGAAGTAAATATTCTAGAAATCAGATATGCCAAGATGACTAAATCACAGCACCTACCTTCCAGAAGTTCCAAATCCTTGGGGTGTGGTCAGGGGGTGAGAATCAACTGCTGAATAAGCAACTACAATACAATGTGATGACTATTCTAATTAAGACTGTGGGAAATCAGACTTTGAGGAGCATGTACAGCAAAACCAAGGACCCAGGTTGGAATTCTGATTCAGATACTTATTACTAGCTGTGAAACTTCAGGCACTGAACTGTTGTGGTTTTTTTCTCCTATCTGTAAAAAGGAACAATACCTACTCTGGAAGGTTATAGTAAAAATTATATTAAGAAATTAATATAAAGCACTTAATGTCAGACTGATCTTACAAACTCAATAAATGGCAGTTATTAGTATTACAAAAGGCTATGGTGAAGAAAGGCAACTTACTGTACTTCAAAGGAAAAAACGGTGGGGTCAGGGGAATTCCTAATATATTCATAGAACAAAGCGGAAGTGGGGGCAGTGTTCCTGGGAGGAACAGCACATACAAAAGTAGAGTGATATGGCAAAGTATGTTTACCTGGCAGGGTAGTAAGGGGTGGGGGAAAAAAAGGCTAAGAGGGGAAGCGAGGTGGATGATGCCCCAGAGGACACAATTCTTAGTACTTTCTGTATTTTCAGCTGCTAGCACAAAACGTGACACATTATATTTGCAATAAATAGTGAACTGTAAGAATATGTTACACAGTTGTGTGAGAAAAATTTGGGCCAAACTGTCGAAAAAAATGTTACAGGGTAGAAACCTCGGTTTTGAAGTCAGCAGACCTGAAACAGTCTTCTGACCAAGGATGTGTGTTTTTATCTCGTCGTACAACTTACCTGCTGTTTGGCCTTAGCAAATGACTGATACCTGGCGTCTTGAGCTGTAAAATGGGGTAAGCCCTGACACGCAATTATCAAAGCGCCTGCTACTAGTAACCTCTCAAAAATGACAGAGGGTGCAGCTGCTAACTTCTTCTTTAAAGACCCAATTCAAAAATGATCACTTCTCTTTCAGGTCTTTTTCTATATTTGTAAAATGACAGGGCGAGAATAGGGATTTTCTTCCAAACAGCAGTGAAAAAAAGTATACCAGGTTTGTCAAGGACGAAAAGGCCCCGCCCGGCCCGCGCCACACAGGTCACCTACGCAGACTGCAGTCCTGGGGCCTCCATTTAGGTCGCTGAGTGAGACGGGGCGAAGTCGCTGACAGGCTGTTCCAGATACAGGTCTAGGTAGGATCTTGGGAGAGGGAGCAAAACCCCACAGAAAACCGGTCCACACCAGACTCCTCCAGCTCTAAGGGGGAAGCCTTTGAAAAGGTGAAAGGAAAGGAAGGAAGCAGGAAGTGACGTAAGCCGCGACGATCCGGAAATGACAGAAAGACGCCGGAAGTTTACTCGTTTCCAAGGCGACGGCTCCGCCACCACTCCCCCGGGTGGCTGGAGTTGGACAGTGGAAAGCTACTTGGAGGATTGGGGTACCGCTCGACGGCGGCCGCCGCCACGACGGCTCGTGGCGAGCAGGGAACGAGGCCGGCGGCCTCCACGCCGGCCACGCTGCGGGGAAGGTAACCGCTCGGCCCTGGCACCGCGAGGCCGAGTACTAGGGGAAGGGTAAGGAAGACCAGGACGACAGGGAAAGAAAAGGTGAAGGCGGCGAGCGCCGCGGCGGGGTCTCCCCAGGAGGAGGAAGTGAACAGCGGTTCCTCCCGCGAGGACTCGAGGGCAGTCGGTGAAGGCGTAGGCCGCCGCTGCAGTGGCGCCCGGGACAGAGTCCGGGGAGACGGCGGTCGCCATCGCTGCGGCGCTAGGGTCAGGGTGAGGGGAGGCCGCGGCTTCTGCGGCGGTGGCCTGGACTTAGGCGAAGCCGGTGGCCCGCGCAGTGGCGACTCCGGGGGCGCAGCCGGAGGAGGCTGTGTCCTGCGCCCCTCCGGCTCCTGGGACCGGGTCGGTGCAGTCCACGGGCCCCGGACCAGCGCCTGCGCGGACGGGGCCGGCGGCGGCCGCCTCAGTGGTTCTCTGGAGAGAGAGAGTGTGGATGGCAGCCACGGCCGCAGCAGCCCTTGGGACGGAGTGAGCGAAGACCCTGGCTACGCGGCCAGCGACTCCTCGGGAGTGAGCGAGCGCGACGCCCGCTGCGCCGCCGGCTGCTGGGAGCGAGAGAGTGAGGACGCGGCGGGCTCCGGCGCCGGGGGCGCTTGGGAGACAGCGAGCAGCGGGAGCCGCGGGCCGCGTCCCGGGGACGACGGCGACGACGAGGACGAGGACGAGGACGGCCGCTGCCGCTGCGGTGGCTCCCGGGTGGACGTGAGTGAGCACAGCCCCCGCAGCAGGGGCCTGGACTCGGCTCCGCTTGCCATGCCCGGGGTGGCCACCTCGGGCCCCACCGCTTCCCCCAGGGAGACTGCAAACTCGTGTGAGTTTTATTGACCCCTACTTTTTATTTTTTGTTTTATTTTGTCTTTTTGAGACAGGGTCTCGCTGTGCAGTTCAGGCTGGTCTTGAGCTCATTTTGTAGCCCAGGCTGGTCTCAAACTCGCATCGATCCTCCTGCCTCAGCCTCCTGAGTGCTGGGATTACAGGCGTGCGCCACCACACCCGGCTGACCCCCCACTTTTAAAACATTTATTTATTTTTGTCTTTTTGAGATTGGGTATCACTAAGCAGTTCAGATTGTTCTTGAACATATACCTAGCCCAGGCTGATCTCCAGCTTGGAGCAGTTCTCTTCCATCAGCTTCCCAAGTGCTGGAATTACAGGCCTGTGCCGCCATATCCAGCAATATTTCTGTCGTATTTATCCAAATAGATACTAAAGCGGTGGTGTAAAGAAAATATATTAAATCCTTGTCTTATTTTCTATTGTGTTATCCTAGTGCCTGGGATGTAACTCAGGAACGGTTTTTGAATACACATACACTATTTTGGTGTAAGGTATGATTTTAGTATAACATGATTTTACCCTTTAAGAAATTAACATTCTGCCAGGCATAATGATATATGGCTGAAGTCTCAGCTACTTGGGAGGCTGAGGCAGGAAGACTGCTTGAGCTCCAGAGTTTGAGCAACATAACAAGACCCTATCACCAAAAGAAAAGTACAAAGGTTTCTAGGTAAGATAAAGGAATAGAAGTATCTGTCATATTTCTGTCTGTCATGTGATTCTGTGAGAAGCAGGGTACCAAAGGAGAAATCTGCTCTGAGGAGAAAAACAGAAGAGCTCCAGGAATTAAGAGAAGGTGAGAAGAAAGCTAAAAAAGAGAATAAATTAACATTCTGATTGCAGCAAGAGGATGGACACGCACCCGCATGCGCGCGCTCACACACACACACACACACACACACACACACACACACACAGTAGTATAAATTTGCATAGATCATCTTCTAGAAGTGTTTTGTAATTGTTTTTGAGACAACTTGAGGTCAAGAGTCACTCTTCTGTCATCTTTTTTGTTGGTGTTTAGGGAATGCTTGGGTTAAACTGTCCCTTCTTCCTCCTTCAGGAGGTGTTCATGCTTACTTAGCTTACTGCTGTGGGTGCACAAGCATATTAAAATACTTCACAGGTATGTGTCAGTAAGCCTGACCATGTACTCCTGATGCTTATAACATTACATTGTAAAATATAGGCAACTCACTTAGGACCCCTACTGGCTCTCAGGAGCTATTCCTATTCCCCAATACTTCTACTCTTAAAAATATTACAAAATATAAACCACTAGAGTATATGAACTGGAATATTACCTGCTATTCCTTTCTCATTGTAAGATATTAGAAAGATAAGAAAAATATTGATAAACTATACCTGTGTATATGACATAAGGCTCTGGTGAATCTTCCCAACACACCTGCTAAAGACATGGAGTGATATTTTTGGCCTTTTAGGGTGATATCTTTTTTTTGTTTGTTTGATTTTTGAGACAGGGTCTCCTCTGCAGGTTAGGCTGGCCTTGAACTCATTATGTAGCCCAGGTGGGCCCTGAACTCATGGAAACCCTCCTGCCTCAGCCTCCTGAGTGCTGGGATTATAGGCGTGTGCCACCATGCCTGACTAGGGTGATATCTTGATGAGGTTTTTGAAGGTAAAATGTATCAAAGTGTAGGCTTTTCATGACTACAGGCATCAGGAGTTTCCCATGTTAGGTTAGTCATGCTCAGCCTGGACAAGTAATCAGAATTACCATTCGAGTCCTTCTACCAGGTAAGATGAACTTGACTACTTTTTTTTTTTGGTCTTTTTGAGACAGGGTTTTGCTGTACAATTCATGCTGGCTTTGAGCTCACTTTGTAGCCCAGGCTGGCCTCGAACTTGCAGTGATCCTCCTGCCTCAGCCCCCTGAGTGCTGAGATTACAGGTGTGCACCACCACGCCTGGCTTAAACTTGACTACATTTGTCTGTACTGGCCTGTCTCTCCAGATTTAGGATGGAAGTTTGCCCAGAGACCTCAGTTCTTTTGGGGGGATGGTCTGAGAAAAGTTGGTGGTTTTCAATATAATCGTTTTTTTTTTTTTCTTTCTTGTAAGGATGATTGAGTGGCTCTTGATGGTCTTTACCTAACAGAGCTAAAACTAGAAGTCTGGTTAAGATGCTAATTGCAGATATCTTTGGAACAAATTATTTGGAACTCTGAAGTGATTTTGTGCTTTCTCTTAAATCATTGCTGTAGATTTGAATAGTTCTATAATGTAAGCAATTTAATTTACCAATAGGTTCCAGGAAGAAGGTGCATCTTGGTAGCATCCATGATGCAGTACGAGCTGGAGATATAAAGCAGCTTTCAGAGATAGTGGAAAGTGGAGCCAACATTAATGAAGTTGATATTCTCCATAAATTTACCCCTTTACATTGGGCAGCACATTCTGGAAGTTTAGAGGTAAGAAGCTGTCCACATTACTAAACTAAGGGAAGTTTGCAGCTATACAGCAGTTTTATACATTTAATGCTTAGGGCTGAAACTTTATGATAGGTACTGCAAATATTCTTTTGAGTTCATCCTGTTATTTGGGTGTTCTGTTTCCTTAGGCTTTTGTTTGCATGCTTATATGTTTTTTTGTGACTGAGTCTCACAATGTAGTTCAGGCTGGCCTTGAGTTTACAACAATCCTCCTGGCTCAGCCTTTTGAGTGCTGGGGTTACAGGTGTATACTACCATGCCCAGTTGTTTTCCTAGTCTTAAAATAAGTTATCCCAAAGTTTAGTGTCATAAAATAACCATTAAGCCGGGCGTAGTGGCGCATGTCTGTAATCCCCGCACTCTGGAGGCTGGAGGCTGAGGCAGGAATATCCTTGCGCATTTGAGACCAGCCTGGGCTGCAAAGTGAGCTCAAGGCCAACCTGAACTGCATAGCGAGACCTTGTCTCAAAAAAGACCAACAAAAGCAAAAACATTTATGCTGATGAGTGAACCAAGAACTTGTATTCCAGAAAGAGCTTGTCTCTGTGTAATGTCTGGGGCCTCAGTGGGAAGAGTCAAGGGCTAGAATGCAAGTCTTTTGAAGCGTTGTTCACTTAGATGTCTGGTACATGACTGATTATACATGGGACACTTTAACTCCTTTTCATGTGGATCTTTTAGTGAGGTCTTTCCACATGGATTCATTTGTGCTTTCTCACAATACGTGGGCTGAGATCCAAAGGCAAGCACAGAGGGTAACTTACAGAGGAAAATGTAATGAGTACTTATCCTAATACTTTTGCTATAGTTGCTTCAGTGCTTTAACAAAGAAACGGAATACTGCAGATATTCCAAATCTAAAGTTAAATGTTATACAGATTTTGGTGCTATTTACATAAGAGTATACAATTATTTTGACTTGATGTTATGCTTTACATAAACATCATATTATGTATGTGATTCCCCAGTTTGTTTTAACAGTATTTTCAAGTTTTAACTATGTGATTACATGTATGTAAAAGTTCATTTTTCAACATGTTTTTAAAATTTTTTTATTTTATATTTTAAAGAGTAAAAGAAGGATAACATCATAATAGGGGGAGCTTACCAAATTACAGATGAAGTGGTAGGAAATTATCAATGGTTATTGTTTTATATATTGTTATCTACAAGATAGTTTCTCAGGAAAACAGACAAATAATAGTGAGTTACAGACAAAAGAGGTAGGAGATTATCAATAGTTGTTGTACTATACTTTGGTACTTTCAAAGTGGCTTCTAAAGAAAATAAACAGAGCTATACGTGAGTGACCTATTGAATAATCATTAACTATTCTCAGTGGTTGTTGTAGGAAACACATAATGATATAAACATGGATCCATTTATGAAATAGGATAGGAACAATACAAACATTGCAGAGTTATGGATAGATTAGTAAGAAAATATCAATGGCTGCTGTAATACATGGTGGTAACTTCGAAGTGGTTTCTCAGGAAGACAGAGATATGCAAGAAGGATCTAACAAGTAGTTACAGCCTAAGGGTTGTCAAAAATCAAGTGAGCCATCTGGGCCAAAGCTATTTTTTGTAGCGTTTTCTCTCCAGCCTCCCATCGCATTGGGACCCCACAACCAGTTAGTATCCTCTCCCCAACTGTCAGCACAGGCAGAAGGAATCCTGGTGCAGACTTCTCCGGAGCTCCACTACAGCCTGTACTGTCAGGGGAAGAATGGCTTCCAGGGAGTCTCCGCAGGTGTGGTGCAAGGTCCTCCTGGTTTACAGCTTCTGAGCGGCTCTCATGATCCCAGTCCACAGGACCTCTGACTCCTTGGGCTTAGTCTGCATTCTCATGTTCTCTGAGTCCTTGTTCAGCAGCTGTTCCTCTGCTGGCTCTGGACCTTTCTGGTTCTCAATGGCAGGAGCAAGAGTGACCTGTTGTATGGCATGTATTCCTGGGGGTTTCTCGATGTTTGAATGATTCACACACGTCCGTGGGTAGGTATCTGCAGCTGGTGCATGGTGGGCCAATTGTGTCATTGTTTCTCTGTGTCTTGGTAGTTCTCAATTGAGCAGTGACAGCTGGCCTGAGGGCTGGCACGCAACAGCGCTTGCCGCTGCGTGGCTCCCCCTGCGCCAGGGGCCCTCCTTCCGGGCACCTATGAGGCAGGGAGCAAGCCAACCAGAAGACCGGTGCTCCCTGCCCATGCCTCCCTGTGCACCTGGACCCCTCCTTCTGGGAGCCTACGAGGCAGGGAGCGAGCCGGCCGGAAGACTGGTGTTCCCCACCCGTGGCTACCCGTGTGCCTGGGCCCCTCTTTCCAGGTGCCTACGAGGCAGGAATTGAGCTGGCAGGAAGACCGGCACTCCCCGCCTGTGGCTCCCTGTGCACTGGAGGCCCTCCTTCCCGGCTCCTACGAGGCAGGGAGCAAGCCAGTCGGAAGACTGGCGCTCCCCACTCGTGGCTCCCCATGCACCTACGTTTTAATAGTCTGTTCTTAAACTGATGCCAGAATTTATCCATTTTTCTTTTGACAGATTCATCCAGTTTTCTGTCAGGTTGGTTTAATTTGCATCTCTCAAATGACCATTGATGTTAAACATTTTTTCATGTATTTTTTGCCATATCTACTTCTTCATCAGAGAAGTGTCTATTCATTTCAGAGGCCCATTTTTGGATTGGGTCTTTAAATTTGGCGGGGGGAGTCTCATTTTTTTCAGTTCTTCATATATCCTTCATCTGAGGAACACTTGGCAAACATTTTTCCCACGCTGTAGGTTGTCTCTTTACTCTGTTGATTTCTTTTGCTGTGCAAAAGGTTTCTAATGAGATCCCAGTTGTTGATTCTTTATGATGTATGATTGGGGTTTTGTTCATAAAGTCTTTGCCTTCAGTGATGTCTCTAAGAGTTCTACCTATGTTCCAGCAGATTTAGTGTTTCTGTTTTAATATTTAGGTCTTTGATCCATTTCAAATTTAGTTTAGTGCATGGTAAAAGATATGAGTCTGGTTTTAATCTTTAACATGTGGAAAGCCAGTTTTTGTAGCACCATTTATTAAAGAAGCTATCTTTCTTCCAGTGAAGGTGTTTGGCTCTTTTGTCAAAGATAAGGTGGCTGAGTGTTTTCAGAGTTGTTTCTGCATCTTCGAATCTGTTCCGCTAATCCTTGCCTCTGATTTTTTGCCAGTACCATGTTTTTATCACAGTTCTTTTGTAGTATAATTTCACATCAGGGCTTGTGATGCCATCTGCCTTGTCTTTGTTTCTGGGAATTGCTTTTGCTATTTGAGGTCTTATCTTGTTCCACATGAAGTTTAGGATTGATTTGTTTAATTCTGTGAGATATGCTATTGATCAGGATTGTTTTAAATCTATATAACAATTGTAGAAGTATGGCTATTTTTGTTCTTCCTACTCAAAAACAAGGGATGTCTTTCAATTTTCTGATATCCTCTTTGATCCTTTTTAGAGTACTGTAGTGTTCAATATAAATATCTTTTATTTCCTTCATTAAATTGATTCCTAGGTATTTCATTTATTTGGACATTATTGTGAAAAGTATTGGTTCCCTAACTTCACTCTCAGTGAGTTTGTTGTTGGTGTACAGGAACGCTATTGATTTTTGAGTGTTGATGTTTTATGCAGCTACACTACTGAATTTGGTTATTATATCTGGAAGTCTTTTGGGTAGAGATTTTGGTGTTTTCTATGTAGAGTATCATGTCCTCTGCCAATAATGATAATTTAACTTCTTCCTTTCCTGTCCTTACTCCTTTCCATTCTTTCTCTTGTCTAATTGCTCTTGCTAATGTTTCAGAACTATATTGAATAAGAGTGATGAGAGTGGGCATCTTTGTCTTGTTCCTGATTTTACATTGAAAGCTTTCACTTTTTCTTTATTTAGTATGATGTTGGCTGTTGGTTTGTCATAGATGGCTTTTTTTTTTGTCTTTTTGAGGCAGGGTCTCCCTCTGTGGTTCAGGCTGGCCTTGAGCTTTGTAGCCCAGGCTGGTCTCTAACTCACAATGATGTTCCTGCCTCAACCTCCTGAGTGCTGGGATTATAAGCATGTGCCACCATGCCCGGCCATAGATGGCTTTTAGCGGATTGAGATAAAGATCATCTACTTCAATTTTCTATAGGGTTTTTGTCATGAATGGGTGTTGGACTTTGTCAACTGCTTTTTCTATGTCTATTGAGATGATCATGTGGTCTTTGAGTGTGTTAATATGGTGCATTACATTTATTGATTTGCGTATATTAAACCATTTCTACATTCTGGGGATAAATCCTAGTTGATCATGATGTAAAATTTTCTTGATGATTTGCTGCATTCTGCTTGCCAGTGTCTTATTGAGGATTTTTGCATCTATGTTTATTAGGGAGATTGGCCTGTAGTTCTAATTTTTGGTTGGATCCTTCTGTGGTTTTGGTATCAAGTTAATGCTTGCTTCCAGGAATGAGTTTGGGAGTACTGCTTCCATTTCAGTTTCATTAAAGAGTTAGAGAAGTAGCAGCATCAGATCTTCTCTAAATTTCTTATAGAATTCAGCAGTCCAATAGGGCTTGAGCTTTTCTTTATTGGTAGGTTTTTAATTACATCTTCAATTTCATTGACCAATATTAGTTTATTTAGAATTTTCATATCTTCTTGATTTAGCCTTGTAATTCGTATGTATCTGGGAATATGTCCATTTCTTGTGTGTTTTCCATCACATTAGAATACATGTTCTCAAAGTAGGTATTGATGATGATTTGGATTTCTGCAGGATCTGTTGTAATTTTACCCTTTTCATTCCTAAGTACATGAATGTGAGTCTTTTCTTTCTTTTTGTTTTGGTACTGGGACTCGAACTTAGGGCCTCATGCTTGCCAGGAAGGCACTGTGCCACTGAGCTACATCCCTAGCCCTCTTTCCTTTTTTTGATAAGATTGGCTAAGAGTTTTTCAGTTTTATTTACTCTTTCAAAGAACCAACTCTTTGATTTATTGATTCTTTGTATTGTTTTCTTAGTCTCCATTGCGTTAATTTCTGCTCTGATCTTTATAATTTCTTCCCGTTTATGAGCTTTGGGCTTGACTTGTTCTCATTTTTCTAGAAGCTTGAGGTTCAATATTAGGTTGTTTTTAAAGCTCGCTCTCTTTTTCTGATATGGGAATTCACTGGTATAAACTTCCCTGGTAGGACTGCTTTCATTGTGTCCAATTATAAGTTCTGGTGTGTTGTATTGGCATTATTGTTTAATTGTAGAAACTGTCCAATTTCTTTTTTAATTTCCTCTGTTACCTATTGGTTGTTTAAGATGGTGTTGTTTAATTTCCATGTGTTTATGAAGTTTTTGTGGTTTCTTTTGCCATTGATTTCCAGTTTCATTGCACTATGGTCTGATAATGTGCCATGGGATAAGTTCAATTGTTTTGCATTTACTTAAGTATGCTCTATGAGCTAGTTTGTTGTCTATTTTGGAGAATGCTCCTGGTGCAGCTGAGAAGAGTGTGTATTCTGATATTGTGGGTTGGAACACTCTGTAGACATCTACTCAGTCTATTTGTTCAAAAGTTTGGTTCAGTTCTGATATTTCTTTGTTGATTTTTTGTCTAGTTGTTCCATGTATTTGTACTAGTGGGGTATTGAGATCCTCTGTTGCTGTTGTTTTAGTGCTTATTTGGATTTTTAAATGTTCATTATTATTTGTTTTAAATAGTTGGGTGTGCTCGTATTTAGTGAATATATATTTATGATTGTTAATACTTCCTCTTGGATTGTTCCCTTTACAAGGATGTAGTGACCTTTTCTCTCTCTCTTAGTCAGTCTTGATTTGAAATCCACTTTGTCTGCAAATAGAATAGCTATCCCTGCTTTCTTTTAGGTCCTTGTCACATGAAGTATTGTTTTCTATCCTTTGACTTTTAGTCTATGAATTTCTGTTTGAATTAAACTTTTTTGTATGCAGCATATTGTTGGGTCTTACTACTTTTTTTTTTTTTTTGTCCTTTTTGAGACTGGGTCTTGCTATGCAGTTCAGGCTGGCCTTGAGCTCACTTTGTAGCCCAGGCTAGTCTTGAACTCACAATGATCCTCTTGCCTCAGCCTCCCGAGTGCTGGGATTACAGGCATGCACCACCATGCCTGGAGTATCTTTCTTCTTGATTCATTCTGCCAGTGTGTTTCTTTTGATTGGTGAATTGAGATTATTTACATTGAGGATTATAACTGCTATATATATATATATATAGATATAGATATAGATATATATTGGGTCATCTTTGTCGTGTTATTTTCCTGTTGTTGGTTCTCTATTTTTCCTCGTCTGTTTAATTATTTGCCTTGTGTTGGGGATTCATTCTGTTGGAGTTCATGGATTTATAGTCCTTGTCACATGTTTCTAGAATGTCTTTTAGAATATTTTGGAATGCTGGCTTTGTGGTCATGAATTTCCTCAGATGTTCTTTGTCATGGATGTATCTTATTTCTCCATCAATTTTGACAAATAGTCTTGTGGGTTACTTCAATCAATCTTATGTTATTCTTCTTTGCATCCTCTAGCAGGTGTGAGATTAATTACTCATGGTCTCTTGCTATGTTTAGGAAATCTTTCTTTACATGATTGCTAACTGCAGTCCTGTCTTGTATATCTGATATCCTGTTTCACATTGGTTCATTATGTTGTGTATACTTTCAATGAAATTTTTAATTTCCTGGGTATCTGTTTGGATCTGTTTCACAGATTGCATTTCATTTCTGTGTTGGGTATTCATAGTTTCCTAAGCTCTTCTATTTTTTGTTATCTGCTCTAAAATCACTAAGCAAGCCTTTCATTATGGTCACCATCTTTGTAGTTGTCTGAGAAACTATTTCTGATTTGATTTTTTTCTAGAGCCTCATTCATCTGCTTTGTTACTTCTGCTGTTACCACTTTAGAGAGACCAGATGGTTGGCTTCAAATTGTTTCACCTCATTACTCCCTGGGTTTGTCTTTGGTGAGCTGGAAGTCTGGGGTTGCATCTTGCTTAAGTATCTTTTCATTTTATGTATATATTTTACTTTAATTCGTGGGTTGATGTTTGTAAATTGCTTATGGCAGGTAGCTTTATTGCTTATATTTAGAATCCTTAGGAAATGACTACTTCTCAGCATTGTCTTCTATGTGTAGTTGGCTTTTGGTTTTAGGGTTTGTTGAAAGATCCTACCTCTTCAGTTTCTTTGGGATGGGAAGTTGCTGCCTATTTGGTCTAGCCTCTGGTTCTTTGGCACTGGCATATAGCATTGCTTATGACCCTTGGGCAATCTCACTCTTGGCGCACCAGGAAGAAGAACCAATTAGAACAATTATGTTACTGAAGTAGCACAATCAACAATAACTGTAGCATCAAACACAGCCTAGAGAATAACAAACTGTGGTAACTGTTAATTAGCCATAACCATATGAACTAGCTTTGTGGTTATACAACACAATATAAAACAAACCAGAAACTGTATATAGTAAATATGCCTTACGGCCATTTTGCTCTCAGGGTATAAAATTTAGAATGGGTTAGAGGAAAAAATACAGAAATAAAAGAAGAGGAAGAGATTAGAAGCAAGGCTAGAGGTCAAAGGAAAATTATGCAAACTTTGAGAAACTGGTGAAGAAAAAATAGAGAAGAAATAAAACCAAAAACAGAGCAAAATGACAACAGAAAAACTAGAAGCAGTATTTACACTCATATAAAAATATGAACAAAGAAGAAAACAAAACAAAAATAAGATAAAAACATAAAATAAAAAATAGAAAAGAAGAAATACATGAGAAACCACTTTGAAGATATCAATATGTAATACAACAAGCATTGTTAATTTCCTACCACTTTGTTTGTAA